CTGCCAAGATTTTGGATTAACAATCACCCTGAAGAAAAAACAAGTCATGGGCCAGGCACCTCCCTCTATTACCATCTCTACACAAGAACTGAAGTTCTTGGATCAATGATCTCTGACACCCTCTCTCTAGATGTCGAGCTGGATAAGCTACCATATTATCTAGACTCACAAAGAGAGTGTGGTTTAATAAGAAGCTGACAGCAATACCAAGATCCAGGTCTATAGAGCCTGTGTCCTGAGTACACTGTACTGCAGTGAGTCCTGGACCCTTTGTGCATGGCAGGTGAGGAAGTTGTCTCCGACACATTTTTGGTATCACCTGGCAAGACAAAGTTCCAAATAGAGTAGTCCTAGAATGAGCTGGTATTTTTAGCTTGTATACATTACTGAAATAGCAGTGTCTATGTTGGCTTGGGCATGTTGTGAGAATGGCTGACGGGCGGATTCCAAAAGATCTCCTGTATGGAGAATTAGTGCAGGGAAAGTGTCCTAGAGGGAGACCACAGCTGTGATACAAGGATATCTGCAAGCGGGATCTGAAGGCCTTAGGAATGGACCTCAACAGATGGGAAACTTTGACATCTTAGCGTTCAGCCTGGAGGCAGGCGGTGCACCATGGCTTCTACCAATTTGAAGAGACCCTTGTTCAGCAGGCCGAGGCAAAGAGGCAGTCCCGAAACCAGCAAAATCAGGGAGCTGAACCGGATTGTATTTGTCTTCAGTTTGGAAGGGATTGTTACTCTCAAATTGGCCTTCTCAGCCACACTAAATGCTGTTCCAAGACCTCTATTCAGAGCAAGTAACCATAGTCTCTCGAGACTGAAGGATGCCTGCTGGTGTTAATCCTGGGCAAAGATACAGTCTATTCTGCGAATATGAAATTTGTTGTATTTCTAGTTAAATTACACCAATTATGTATAAATTTGCATCTACACCTATAAATTAACATAGTTCTAGAAGAGGTGGCCATGTCAGTCTGTGCTAGTATATCAGGCAAAACCAAAAGAAGACAAAATGTTGTGGCACCTTAAAGACAAACCGTTATATTTGGATGTGAGCTTTTGTGAACAAGTTTGAAGAAGTGGACTTTTCTGCGAAAGCTCACATTAAAACAGAGCAGTTAGTCTTTAAGGTACCATAACATTTTTGCCTTCTTTATTTTATTTTTGTTTTTGCCTGATATAAATTAGCACACACTCACTTTATGTACCCATGTCCCTTTATTTATTTATTTATTTTGCGGTGTGTAACCGGTCACCCTACTTTCTACTTTATTGGCACTAGGACAATGGAAATATGTGTGTTAGAGAGTGGGTATATGACAACAATATTTATGGTATCACTCTGAATGTATGAGATCTTGTTCCATTTTGTTTCAGTTGCAAACTTCCTGCAGAATATATCTATCAAAGCCCCTTGGTCCTGTATTTCTTTCCTTTAAGTTGAGGATTATGTTAAGCCTGCTTGCAGAATTGAGTTCTGTGCTTTCCATGTTCTTCCTTTTGATAGTGTCCCAAATTACCATCCTAAATTTTGTTTTCAAAAAATTTAATTAAATAATTAAAAAATCAGTGGGCTTCTTAGAGCCAGTGTTTGTGTCAGAGGAGTCTAATAAAACCTAGTTAAAGAAGCAGACATTTCTAGTTTTGCAAGTGGCTAAATCAAAGCCAGGGCCTCAGTTAGGTCTGCCATGTCTCTGTGTGGTGGCTGAAGTGGTGGGAGAATTGTTGTGTTACCCTGGCACAAAAATCTCAGGGTGAGCAGTGCTGGAGCAGGAGAATGTTTTATTTATTTACTGTATATTTATTTCTTATTGTGTGTGTGCACACATTTGTGTGTGGTAAGTTTAAAGTCTAGGCATCCATCCCCACCTAAGACCGGCCTACATAGGCTGAGACCAACTGCACACATCTGGCATGCCATCCAAAGGAGGGATGGGTAAAACACTTCTGAGTACTGTATATCCATAAATCAGAAGTTAGAACTGACTTAATGACATGCAATAAAATACCTTTACCAATATGATATTTTTTTGCAAGTGCTGGCCTTCACCAT